GGGGGGGGGGGGGGGGGGGGGGGGGGGGGGGGGGGGGGGGGGGGGGGGGGGGGGGGGGGGGGGGGGGGGGGGGGGGGGGGGGGGGGGGGGGGGGGGGGGGGGGGGGGGGGGGGGGGGGGGGGGGGGAGAAAGAAGATTAAGAGGGAGGGAGAGGCATCATTTAAAAAAAGACGAGTCCTCCAAAATGATAGTTCAGAAGTAATTTGTTCGAGTTGCAAGGAGTCCTTGGATCATATCTTTTTGCACTGCCCCTTTGTTAGACGCTGCTGGGATATTGTGTCTCCCAAAGAAGGTGGATGATTGGCCTTTGGAATGCAGGGGGGGAGGAAGAAGTTTAAGAGGGAGGGAGAGACATCGTTTAAAAAAAGACAAGTCCTCCAAAATGATAGTTCAGAAGTAACTTGTTTGAGTTGCAAGGAGTCCTTGGATCATATCTTTTTGCACTGCCCCTTTGTTAGACGCTGCTTGAGAGGTTGAGAGGTTGAAACCAGAAGAGCAAGGTTGGAACCGGACAGCAGTTTGCCTCAAGAGCCCTCTTATGGAGCATATGGCAAGATCAAAATAGAAGAATTTATGACCATAAGATTACTCCTTTTGATGTTTTTTTGGGATTTTGTACAGTTTAATACTTCTTGGTGGTGCCATAGCCATAGCAAATTCTTTTGTAATAGCCCCTTACCTATGATTATTTTGGATTGGAAGGCTGTCTTTAAGTAGCATTTCTTGAGTGGGGGCTCTCTCCATTCTCCAAGCCCTTACTTGTTTTCTTGTGCCTTTTAGTTGAATACATTATGTTTCTTATCAAAATACAATATCTATATATGTTGTCTTGCCACTTCGCAATTGAAAATTAATTAAAAGCATGTCACATCGTAGTTTTATTATATTAGCTAAAAAAAGTTGACCAAAAAAAAGCTAAACAAAAATTTAGAGGTATATATGAAAAAAGGACAGAGGAAAAAACACAACCACAAACTAATATGCAAAATAACTGCAGATTCTTTTGAGGAGATAAATAGGAATAAAGGACATAACAGATGAAGACCTGAAGGCAAATCACCAGAAGAAATGATTACCTCATCAGAAGGATCAGATAGGGCTTGAAGAAGGCTGTCAAGTACATCGTCCAAATAGATCAATACCTGTCCAAAAAGGAATGAAGATCAACGACTCGCACACATTAATATAGAACAAGAAGAGAAGTGAAAACAGAAGATCTACATTCACCAATAAAAATAACAAGGAACAATCTAACTACCTTAAGGCAGCTCAATAACACTGCTGATGTAAAAAAGAAAAGAAAATAAAATAGCGCAAGTCTGAGTGTGTGTTGCACTTGGTGAATACCAACTGAAAAATGCTTATAAAATAGTTAACAAAAGTGAATGCTACCATACATATGAAGTATTAAATTAGTTACAACAGAAAAAATTTTCATTTGTAGCTATCACGTGCAGGATTGCAAAATGAGAAGGTTCAAATAAACGCTCCTTCCTACCCCCAGCATGCTGACACTGACACTCCTTCCCTCCTTTGGTATGTTCTCCATTTTTTTTTTATATAAGAAACTTGAAATATGTATTCCTCAAAAAAAAAAAAAAAAAAATGTAGTCTTGGAGCCAGGGGAGAGGGCTCCCATCCCAAAGAGGACTACTTACAAGAGGGGAAAAAAAACAAACTTCCAATTCTAAGTATCGGAGAAAGGGGATAAAAGAAGAATTTGCTCAAGCAGTCTTTGCAGGGAAGAAACCGAGGACCTCGATTACCTTCTTTGGACGTGCCCGTTGGCTAGATCTATATGGTGCAGTTTCTTTGAGGCATTTCTGTTAGCATTCCATGGCCAAGGAGTCTCAAAAACAAAATATAGTCTACGAGCCAGGGGAGAGGTCTCCCATCCCAAAGAGAGCTACTTTATAAAAAAACCTTCCAATTCTAAGGATAGAAGAAAGGGGATACAAGAAGAATTTGCTCAAGGAGTCTTTGCAGGGAAGCCACTGAGGACCTCAATTATCTTCTTTAGACGTGCCAGTTTGATAAATCTTTATGGTGCAGTTTCTTCAAGGCGTTTCTGTTAGCCTTCCATGGCCAAGGAGTCTCAGTTCCGTGTCGGAGAAGTTTTTTTCCACATTACCCCTTTCGAGAAAAGGGTAGGCAGGCTCTGGTTTGCTTATCATTTTGCTATTTTGTGGGATCTTTGAGCAGAAGGAACAAGAGAACTTTTAGAAGGGTTTCAAAAACCTATAGGGAAGTTCTGGACCCTTTCAGATTTTGCGCCTCTCCAAGTCTCCGTGGGTAAATATTCTTGTAATCACCCTGTAGGTCTTGAGCTCTTTTCTAGGCTAGGTAGGCTCCTCCTAGGTGTTTTTTGTATTCCACGTGCATTCTTTCTTCTTCTTTTTTTTTCCCCTCCCACAATGAAAGCTTGCCATTTTAACCAAAAAGAAACTAAAATTGTTCAAGCTGGGACACCACCAAGAAGCAATATGATGTACAATATTGCAAAAAATAGGAAAAACAACAGACGAATCTTCGGAAACACCTTCCTTTGCCTCTCCATTATCATGTACTTTGGGTTTAAAGAATGCAAAATAAGAGGGATTTCCTAGCAGAAATTTTCAAAATTGATAAATAATTGTAGGAAGGTTGTCTCATAGTGACCAAAGAATCCATTTTTCTTTTTTTCTCTTGGGGGAGAGGGGGATAGCAACTGATTGGAGTCTCTTTATTGGGCTCATTTTAGATTTGACCTGGATAAATACCCAAACTTCCACTTCTTCATCCTAACCAGAACACCCTCCTCCCCTGCTAACCTAATATTTGCAGAAGTGAATGTCAGCAAGCGATGAAGCAGAAAGGTTGAGCAAACCTTTGTATGAAGAGGAACTTGTATTGGTGCATCAGGAAAAATTGCATTGCATGAGTAGAGGGAAGTAGATAGTAACTATGACATAGTAATAGTTGTAACAAGAAGATTCATCTACCTGATTGGTTCAGAATCATGACGGCACAGCAGAAACTTGTAGGCCCCTTATGTGCCTTAAATCTTTTGACCCTGACAACTAACTACGTAGAAGCAGAACAGTGACTAGGTCACACCTCATTGAAACTCATTGGAACACTATTTAAAGTCTTTATTAAGAACCACTCAATTCCGCATCTGTGAGATTCCTACCATGAAACTGAATAATACCAGAACAATGTATTGCTTCTGCTACCAACATTAATTCGGGAGGTTTTTCATCTTTTTCCTACCAATGGAAATAAAAGCTCCAAGTGCTTTCTATCACCCAAACCTTTGTCTTCTTTACCAAATCAACTTATCCCATTCACCCCATATGTACTTGTCGCCATTTTAAACAACAGAACTCATTACCACTAGGAAATCACCATGCTAGACCAGACATCAACCATAAAGATCACTGTTATTCCTCGAACTCCAAATATGTAAAAGAAATTTTAAAAAGAAAAAAAAAAGCGTGCGGAGGTGGTTTAGAATGTAGTTGCAAAACAAAGCCTCCTTAAAACGTTGAAAGCTTAAATGAAGTTAATTACTCAAGCTCATTCTCTAAGGTCTTAGTGCCAATTGTGATTTTCCAACGGGTAATCTTCTCCTTGTAAGAGTTGTAAGGGTTCATGGTTCAATAGAAATTATTAAGATTAACTGAACAGTTGGAGAAGGTACACGAGGATCTAATTTTGGTACACACAAGTAACCATCCCATTTCATGCCCACAGCCATTGTATAGATAATGTCGATTCCCTTGCATACTGAAAGATCACCATCCTCTATGCACATTGCTCATATTGTTGGTAATATACCCCAGAGAAGGCAGCACATTGCATTTATCAGGAAATATCAGAGTGACTGGAGGTTGTCACTTGTTACTCTTACTTTTGGATAAACCTAATGGCATATAGAAAGGTTTTATTGCAAGTGATCAAACATTAAAATTTCCGAACAAATTCCTTTCTTTCTTTGTGTGTGGAGTGGGGGGTGGCAAGAAGGAAGAGACTGAAATAGGAAAAAAAAAAAATAATGTGGAGACAAAATAAGATAACTCAAGGATAAATAATAGGTCTATAGACATGTAAAAGACTAGTTGTCTGTGATATAAAAAAAAAAAAAAAAAAAAAAGAAAGGACAATATCAGAGTCACCTCAGTTCGATGTCTATTTAAAAGTGTTGATATCCAATGCAATGCTTCAATCCTAGTAGCCTCATGTTCGCTAGATAGTTGTCTGATCAATCAACAGAAGCAACAATCATGAAAACGTCCTCATCAGTCATCACAGCAAAAACTCAAATCAAATAAAAATCAACATAACCACTTCACATGACTCCAACGACATGGAACCACTGCAAAATAATTTTTTAATCAAAAAATCAACTTTCATTGAAATACAAATTAAAGAATGTTGGGGCCAGCAAAGATGGGTGGTGAACAGAGGGACAGGAAGTGGGAGGGTTGGGGTTATACCTCCTAGCGATAGAAAGGATAGCACCAACATCAAATCCTTCGGATGGAAATGCCTTGATATTACGAAGCTCTTCATTAGTTTCCCGAGCAACCTTCAAAAATCATGTAAACAAATCAGTTGCAACATAAAACAATTAAAGTCCCCTTAACGTGAGGCATAAAAAGGGGAAAAGCTATACCGAACCATACTATATCTAAAGAGAGAAACTTTTGATTCCCTTGAGGCTCTCTCTAATCATATTAAGTAAAAAAAAACTAACCTCTTAACAATTAAATATGTGGCTAAAACTAGCCAGACACTAAAAGTTATAGCTATTTTAATTCATTCACGGAGAATTTATAATTGAAAATTCTACTTTTTGATGTGCAAGTTAATAATCATTTCAAGTAACAAAGGATATTATTGTGCTGTTATCTATTAATAAAAAAGGAGAAAGGGAAATCAGAGACCATAGCTTTCAAGAGACTTTTACTAGACCAATTGGCACCATTGCCTACCAACCATTCAAAAGGGTGCAGGTCATACCTACTCACAAAAAACTTTATGCCACAAAAATCTGGCTCCATTAAAAAATGCCAAAGCCATTTAGCCAACAAAGCTTCGTTGCATAATCTTAAGTTTCCCAATCCCTAGACAGCCCAACTCAAACAGCTTAACCACCACTTCCCATCATAACCAGATGGGACCCTCCCCCCTCTCATCAACCTCGGGCCCATCCAACACAAATTCTTCATCACTTTCACAATACTCTTACTAACAAAAACTAGAACTTTAAATAGAGAAAAACAATTGAGAATCTCACACAACCAAGTGGATAAGGGCAATCCTTCCTCATTTAGATAAGAAAGTCATTCTCTAAGAAAACAATCGTTTTGGAACCTTATCCAACACCTGATTGAATTTTATTATATGAAGATGAAATCAACTGCTGCTATGTTTTTTCATACATTACTACTTCTACGTACATATTGATTTTCTTCTCATTTAAGCACAATTTTGTACACCATATGAGTTTTAATATTATCCTCACCTTATTATCCCATTTAAGATTAACCAACCAACCATGTTTGCGCAAGAAAAAATTTATACAAATTCATATTTAATGTTGGTGATGTGTCCTATATAAGATATCTCTCATATTTCTTAACTACATTCCTATAAAAAAAAAATGAAAAACGATCAAAAAACATAATTGATGGTTGAAAAAGGCATAAAAGCTTAAAGTATAGGATCAAATTACGTGAAAGTATAGGATCAAATCACGTGCATGGTATGTGTTTATGGCACAAGTAATAAAAGAAAGGGAGAAGATAAATCCTACCACTCGAATCTTCTCTTCTTTATCAGCTATGGAAGGTAGAATTGCTCCTAGAATATCAGCATAATAAGGTACTAATTGATCTCCACCAAGTTTTACAAACTCATTAATCTGCAAATACAAAACAAAAAAAAAAAAAAAAAAAAAAAAAAAAAAAAAAAAAAAANAAAAAAAAAAAAAAAAAAAAAAAAAAAAAACTATAAATTTATAAAGATAATGCACAGTAGTAAAACATATCTATTGGTTCTCGATAGATAGGAAGGACCTCATAAAAAAGTGAAACAGAGTCAAAAGTTGTTTTGAATTTAAGACAAGTTATAATAACAAATGATGGATGCTCAAGTCCAAAGTACCCATGTAATAGCCGTTAAGCGAGTAAACTCGTCTGGGGAAGAAGCCCTCTGGACCAGAATCTCAGCCATTCTGCCATAATCTACAGACTTCAAGAGTAGCACTGCTCGAGTCAGAAAATTATTAAATGAACAAATAAATTTTGGACATGCAAAGAAAAGAAAAATAGATGGCAATTATTAAATCTATTTTTGCATTTGCATACTTGTATGTAATTCCTCGTGTTATTTTTCTGACTTTGTATGTTGACCAAAAAAGTTGGCATAATCAATAGTAGAAATGGGAAATTAATTTGTTTTCATCTAAGAAACCAAAACTGTACATTCAAAATCAGAAAAATACAAAAGAGGAGACGCAATACCTAGAGCCATAGAGCTTACAAAAAGAACTCCAATTAGCTTTAATAATAAAAATGGCTTTGGTTGCAAATTAGTTATAAAAATAAATAAATAAATTCAAAGACTTGAGGCGATAAATCTAATTAAGGCACTCAATGTTAGCTAAGCAATCTTACTGGAGAATTCTTGATCTCATGGAGAAACTCCGAAAGCGCAGAATCGGCTTGTTGCCGGATTTCATGACTTGAATCACTTAACATATTGAACAAACCTAAGAGTTGTAGCGGATTTGTAAGTATCATAAACATTTATCAGAAAAATTTTATAGAAATCTTGCTCCACACCATTGACTCCACAATCAATAAACGAAGAGAAAAAATTATATATTAAAAAGAAATATCAGTAACATAAAGATTCACCATCAAGAAAATCAGGAAGAAAGCCCAGCATATCAATATCTGGCACACTATCAAGTACAGTGATCCATCCGACCAAAAACTGACGAACATAGGGATTTAGGACATTCATACGCTCCCTCAGCAATGGAATAAACTCTTCGATGCTGAAGAAAGAAGATAGCCAAAAGAAATATAAACAAATACATATTGCAATACAACTTCAAAACAATGCTTCTTAAATGTAACATTCGATAAAATAGTCAAACCAAGTAGCTTGAGAAATGATGGAATACCTGAACTGATCACTTTCAGTAACAATATCCTGTTCCATTTAATTCATAAAATTAGTTTTAAATAAGAGAAATTTTTCATTAAAACAAAGAGGAGTTCGTTAATATTATGGAAAATAAAGGAAGGAGGAGTTCAGAACGGAGATTAAGGGAACAAGACATTCCCCCAATTTCTAACTTTTAAGACAATGCAGCAATTTACATCAATAAGGTAGATAGACCAAATATAATAGACTAAATCTTTAAATGTAAAGCATTAAAATAAGACGCCATATGTTATCCAAAGATATACTTATCTGCTTGTATTTTTCAAACATTCTGGTGTTCCTCTCAATCCATGGTGAACGAGAGAATGTTTGAAACATGGAATTCTTGTTTCCTTTTTTTCTATTTAAACTTGTCATGGGGAGAACGGGTGCGTAAGGGAGTACCTTCACAAGTCGATCCAAGAGATGAGCAGCACTTTGTACACTGGCATCTGAATCAGCTGAAAGCTTACATAAAGCATCAAATATCTGGTTAAAGAAAACTATAAAATCGCCTCTGACAACCTGCAGCAATAGACGTACGTATTCAGCTTAGCCCCAAAAATACGCTAACAGCTCTGACAATTCTACTCACCTTTGCAATGTTGTATAGAGCTTCACATGCATAATAACGTACTCTGCTATCTTGATCAGAAAAAGAATTGAGTACAGGCGGTACAATTTGCTGGAAAGTTCATTTATAACGTTAGAAGAAAAAACTATTAACATAATAACATCACTAAAATGAAAGAAAGCAGGACAACTATAATCACAGAAAATGGCAACTTATTTCTGATTTATATAGCAACGAAACAATTTAAACATCAACAGCAAGAAAAAGCCCCTAAGTTACACCATTGAAGAGAGAAGAATGTATCAAGTTTCGTATACCCTTCTCCCAAAATGTTACTTGGTGCAGCCAGAACCTACAGTTCAACAGTTTTAAGCTACAAGCTGCAGAGTTAGGATAACATATCCATCTTCTAACCAGTAAACTCTTCCAGTACATTTTAAGTAGACTATGTACTTAGTTTTAGGATGTAGCGACAATAGTCCATTGGAAATCAGTGAAGAACTAAACTATAAAACTTAATAGGAAACTGCCTAAGAATATACTAACCTCAAGATGTTGAGATGCATCAGAAGTCAAGCCAACAGTTGCAGCAGCAAGTCCTATCAATCCTCCCTAAAAATGAAATTGATGGTTTAAAATCAAGCAAATTCCAAACATAAAAATAAATAAATAAATAAGAAACAGAAAATGAACAAAGAAGATTTCACCCAAAACCCAAACTCTAAAAGAGAAACCTGAACTATCTTAAGCATTCATTTACGCATTCATCTCATACCTTTCTATGATTCGCTTGAGGCGACATAGTGAAATCGTTCGTGAGCAGATTTATAACCGCCGTAATCTTCTCATGATCTCCAGCCGAAGCAAGTTGCTTCACAATTCCCTCAACCTAAAGCGCAATGCAGCCCTTTGAGGATTACAAATAATCCAAACCCTAGAAATGAAAAATTATGAAATGGGTAGGGAAGTAGACCTCAAGAGCAGCGTTCTTCCGTTTCTCATAAAGCTTATCAGACAGGTTTCGGAGCACAAATGCAGGAATAACAGAGAGAGCATCAGCCATATTCGACCCTAAGAGCACTGAAACGAATTCAACTGATCAAATAAACTAATTGGGAAACATCAATTTCGTTTTCGGATCTTCTCCTGCTCGAATCGGAACATCGCTGCGTGGCAGCTTTCCCAGTAATGAAATCGAGAAATGAAAAAAAAAAAAAAAAAAAAAAAAAAAANTCATTGTCCTCACATAAGTGAGCATGGAACATGCCCATGTGATAATATTTTCATATAGAACGATGAATAAACTTGAGTTTTTTCTATAACAAATTCTTTTGCAATATTCCTACGATCTCACTTTAAATGAGCATTAAAAAAACCTGTTAGTATAATGTTTAAAAATATACCTATGAAATTTTAAAAATAACATTAACATACCATTCTTATAAGAAAAAGTTTAAAAAAGATCTTGATCATCATCAAACTTTTAATTTTTTTTATTTAATTCAAGGATATTAATGTTGTTTTTTTTAATAAAGTTTATGAGTATTTTTTAACCGCGGCATTAATAGTTCATTCTATATACCAATAATAATGGTATTTTGAACTTTTTAAAAAAGTCTCAGCTTGAAGGTGTTTTTAAAGTTTTTAAAAAATTTTAAGAGTATTAAATGAAATTTTTAAAAATTTATGGGTATTTTTGAAAAATTTATTAAAATTTAAGTGTATTTTTATTATTATTTTTTTAAAAAAGAAACTATTAATACCTTTAAATACAAATTTATGGTAAGGTTATTTTAAATTTTCTTTTTAAAGATATATATATTTTTTTAAAGTTTAAAAATATTATTGAAACTTTTAAAACATCAAATTATTTTTATTAATTTAGCGTATTTCCCTTCTCTCTCGTGTGCAATCCACATACTCATAAACATCCATTATTAATAATTATTTTTTTTTTCTTTATAAAAATGACATAAGACAAGAAAATGGGAGATTTTAAGGGCATCAAAAGAGACACGATAGGACAATTCCGACGCTTAGAAATACCTTATCCAAATAGAATATACCCCCACATATCCATATTATAATACGAGCATATTATAAATTCGAAAAAAGAATTTTCATTTCAAAATCTCAATAAATAAAGAAAAAAAAAAAAAAAAAAAAAAAAACAACCGTTGAAACACAACCCCAACAACAATGGAAGGGGACAATCGGGATTAGAACTGTGGAGAAATTCCAACGAAATAACTGAATAAATCGATGATCCAAATCTAGTCCAATCCGATTAAGAATCAAATTGAAAAGAGAAGAAAAAGATTATAAAAATCGATTCGTCGAGAGGAGTTTTCTTCACTTTTTGCCCCTTTATTTCTGGGTTCAAGGGGACTGACTTAATTTATGCAAAGACTTCTTTTCTTTTCGTTTCCTTTCATTTCTTTTCCCTTTCTCTCTCCTCTTTATCTGTCTTCGTTTCTGTTTGTGGAACACTACGGCGTGTTAGTGCAAGGAGAAACCGCGCCACTGCAGCGACAGCAAGTTAGGGCACCACCGCCACCCACCCCGCACCAAACGGACTCAATCACCTCCACGCCTAATTTGATTCATTCAACTATGCTAGCCATCAAAGGTAGAATCGAAATTTTGGTAATGGATCGTTGCAAATGGTATCAAGGGGATGTCTCTTGGTTGATATGGTTTGAGGATGAATCGAGATGAAAGTTGATGGACATGTAACACTCGAGTAAAAAAAAGGTACGTGGATGAATTTAGAACGACTCTAAGGATATGATGGTTAAGAAATGTTCGAAATAATTGAAAGTTACGATTTATACCAATAAGGTGCATTTTACTTTTCGGTGGTTGAATCATAGAATTTTAATGTTAAGCATGCTTAGCTCGAAACAATTTTACGTTGAGTGAGCTCCTAGGAAATATGTGCATGGGGACGAACACGTGTTTCAACCTATAACTCAAACTCTAAATACTATTCCGTGTCGTGGTGCAGCCCGGTTAAGACGTGAAAACAAAAGTAAATTTTTTTTTTTTTTTGTAATAATTTCATTAAAGCCAATTGTATTTATTATTTTTATTGCCATATTTTAAATTTTAAATTTTCTTTTGAATATTATGGTAAATATGAATCGAAGTGGTATTGTCCGTACTATTAGACATGTCACGTGTCACCATATGACTTCTGCCTGGTTGCAACGTTGGCTAGCTTCGTTCCACACGTGCCACCAATTTTTATATATATTTAATTCATATTTTCTTTTTTAGAAAATCATTTTGGATGGTATTTGTAATTAATTAAAATTATAAATCACTAGAGTTTTTTTAATTTATTTAAAACACTATATTATGTATTTTTAATCCATTAAAATTTTAAACTATTAATTTCATCAACTCCAAAACCCTAAATTTGTTGAGGTGACTCAATTTATATTATCAAATAAATTTTATGAAAAAATGTTAGTTAAATAAAAGTGGGTAATTTTATATTTAAAAGAAAATAGAAAAAACAATAGTTTAAACAATAATATTCTAATAAAATGTAATAAAGGATATAAAATTAGGTCATTTTAATACTTTGATCAACAAATTATTAAGTTTCGGGTGTTACTCAATTCAGTTTGTAAATTTAAAGGTTTGTAATTAGTAAAATTCTATCACGAGAGCTGAAGTAAAATAATTTCTTTATAGTGATAAATTTGAAACGAGGTACCGACTTGTTAGGATGATTTTTTTTTCTTTTGAATTCCCGTTTCTTTCTTAGACAAAAGGCTGATCTTTGAATAGGAAAAAGAGTGTTTCTTTCTTTCCTCCATTTGTCTTTTGTCTCTTCCACTTTCTCTTCATCTTCTCAAACGGATGTTGTCGTGGTTCCTATGACAACTACTAATTATTTATTCAATATACTTGAATTTAGATGGAGATGAAATCGTGAAACTAGTTATTGTTAGTGCAGTGAGTCAATAATGATCGAACAAACGATGTAAAGTCTATCATAGAAGAAGAAGTCAAATGATAAATGAAATTAGTCATTAAATGAATTCGATTCTATTAAATATTTTTAGATTCACTAAATCAAATGAATTCTGAAAATACTTAGTTTGGCAAGTTTGTTTTCAATACTATGATCGAGAGAGATTTGAATGCCTAATGGCGACCAAAGGAAAATATAAAGAAAATATAATATTAAAGTTGAATGATAGAGACCCAAACAAAGCATTTTCTGTTAAAAATGTCAACTTTAACAACAAAAAAAGAAAGAAATCAGAACACACAATGATCGTAGGCACTCAATAATTAATTCTAAAAGGATAAGAATCAAAGGAAGTCGATGAAAGGATAATGCACCTCCGTACGACCAGCTTCACAAAAGGATAAGAGTCTTTTAAATGTGGCAATCCCATCCTTGCCTCTTTGGATTGGATTATCCATTTTCATTTTTAGCCAACTAATGAACGAGTTACAGAACAAAAATTCAGTACAAAATTCACGGGCTACTCTTGTTGGTTTGCTGGATACCAACCTAACTTCAGTTGAATGCATTCAATACGCATATGCCCGTATGAGTACTTGAAGGGATCAGATTAGATCCACCACTGAATCTGAATCAACATGAACATAGTACATCAATCAAATTAAATTACTAAATGTACTAGAAAAAAGCCTATATTACTGGAAAACAAATGGTAATTCCAACTAATAGTCTTGATTATATGAAGATCATTGGAATGGGTATTCAGAAAATCTAGAAGTAGCCATGTTTTTCACACGAATGATACATGTTTGATACTCTTATCTGTTCGTAACTTTGTCCTCAACCAAGAGGGGCTGGCAGTCGAAATCGTTGAACTAAAAAACATACGAGATAGGCTATTACGAAATGAAGCCATATAATCCATTAATCTTGTTTTAGAGGCTCAGTTCAGTTCCACCTCCAAATCCAAACTATTCTTCCATTAGCTGGATGACAAGACAATTTCAAGTATAATCAACAAGAAGACATATCACAAGCTCTTAAAAACATCGCTAATAATGGAATAACCGTACATGGAAATTTACCACCAACCAATCAAAAGTAAAAAAAAAAGGTTACATCTCCTAAAGTTCTCAAGGGTGATCATTATAGCTACTCTACTAAAATGCATGACCTAAACAAGCATTTAGAATGGTGCAAACTTGCAGACACAAATATGATAAATAGGAATGATAACTATGGATGTAGCACATATTTACCCCCTTACAAAGGCATTACGAAGGCTATCATTTTCCAGCAGGATGTGCAGCAACCGTGACACCATCAACGGTCATAATTGACTTTCATCGTTGATGTCCGGGCCAGTTACCTGTGTACTAAAGTAACACCAGATATACCTCAAGTAAAGAAAGTGATGAGGTCTATAATTAGGAAAAAACATAAGATATAGTGTTATCCTCCGTTTATTATATGTGACGAAACCATTTACCTGTAAATACATTAGTGCATCTAATTATACCATGAGCAGTGAACCAAAGCGACAGTTATGATAGCTTTACATGCATCAACACGCCAACACAAGTAAGGAGTTTCTATTATTCAACATTACACTGCATCATTAACTACCTTTTGATAATATTACATTGCAGCATCAAGTATAGGGTTACAGAAGCTACTTCAGCCATGAAAAATATACCCTTGCATCTTGAAAAAATCAATTGAAGCCTCAAACATTTGGTACAACAACAGAGATTATATAAATCAAAATTGACTAAAAGAAAAGGAACTAACTAGTGACTCTTCAAGCTCCTTAAAGCCTCGATAGACAGCCTCAGTTTGGTTTTGTGGAAGGGCTAACCTACGAACCTCAGTCATATATCTGTTACAAAAGTTCAAGAGGTAAGGCTAACACACTCATAACCTGAATATTTTCTTTATGCTAAGACATCAATTAGATTAAAAATCTACTAGTAAATCCTTGTAGCCACCCCAAGAGTTAGCAGGATGGGTCACCTACGTAACAGGCCCACACCCCAATTATGAAAATAATAATAATAATTTTTTTTAAGTAATTTAAATCTTCAAAGTAAACCAATTGTAATTTGTCATATTATGTATGACCACATCTTAAAGTGGAGTATTGCAAAGTAAAACTCAAATCAGAAATTTGACAATTAAGATTCAATTTCCAAGGAAACTTTCATGAAACAAAGTGAGTATCAACAAGCGAGGGAAAAACATGAAA